GAGTTCGGGAACTCTGGAGGCCTAGTGTGAGAAGCTGCACTGCAGTCCCAGAGGCAAGTGGTTCAAATCCCACCAGCTGCTGTGCAGGAGAAGGATGGGCTGTCTCCTCCCATGTCATTTCCTGAGTGCATGAGGAGGGCACAGCACTGGACGGGGGCCACGTCTGTTTGTTGTTCATGAGCTCAGTGGGCTACTAACAGCAACAGATGGGATAGAGGATACCCCACGTCGGAGCCAGTCCAGTGCCGAGCCTCCAGCGAGTTTTCAGAGGCATTTAGTTAATCACACGGAGGACTGCCCGTCCTTCTCCCGCCGAGCAGCTGGGATTCACACCTTTGGGATTGCAGCATATAGCTCCTTCCCACTAGGCCCCTCTTGAGAGCGGACTGCAGATACATCTCTGGGGAGGTGACACTCAAGCAGAGATCTGAAGGCTAAGATTGAACTTGGCGTGCACAGACCCGGATGGTGTGCATTCAGATGATGCCACTGCGGAGGACCGAGTTCGGGACCCCCTACAAGAGCTCATGCTTGTCTTGCAAACCTCTGCAAGATAGAGACCCAGAGTGAGGTGTCCAGGAGCATTTCCAAATTTTTTTTTAATTATTTTTTTGTGTGTACCGTCAAATCGGATCTGACTGGTCCAGGAGGAGATTGTCCCTCCTTCTCCAGCAGAGCATCTGGCAGATTTGAACCGCGTACCTCTGGGATTGCAGCACAGCTTCTTGCCACTAGGTCACCGGAACTCTCCTGCGAGCATGTCCAGATTTACCCATCACCTGCCAGCAGTGCTTTTTTCACTGTGGAAAGATTAGCTGAGACAGGAATTGGGGACCTCAGCCAGGAAGACTTGGGGACAGAGGGATAAGAGCCACTTGCTTGCCACACCCCCCACCCCATGGCAGTCACCTGTTTCCTGCCAGCACCTTCAGTCCAGTGAGCAGCCCCTTTCCACCTTGCTTCTAGGCTCTGCCATCCACGGGCACTTTGTTGTCTCCTCCAGGTTACCCTGATCCTTTCCCAAGTTACCAATCAGAATGGCTCGCCAGCCTCCACTCCTTGGGAATAATGAACTGGAGAGCCTGTGTCCGCAGCTCAGGAATGCTGGGAGGCTTGCGTTGGCCCAAGGAATTGATGTCCTGAGGCGGACACAGTAGCCATGGGAGTTGAGATGGCTTTTGTTTTTCTTAAGTCCATGGAGGGAGCTCTGGTGGCCTAGTGGGTCAAGAGTTGCACTGTCAACCTCAAAACAGACAGTTTGAATCCACCAGCTGCTCCCCTGGAGATAATCTGTGCCATTTAGAGCCTCTGAAAGCCTGCTGGGGTGGGGGGGGCAGTGTCCGCTGCTGCCCGACCCTGCACACTGGACCCTGTGCATTGCCTTTTTCCTTAGAAAGCAACCCTTCCTGGGGAGTGTGTGGCCACTGGTTTTTCATGATATCAACATGAAGGTCTTAAGTAGTAAGACCTTTATATCATAGAGAATTTATATAGAAGTTGCTTCTATCTTAGCTTTGTAAGATCCTAGCATCAAATTCTCTATGGCTGAATTAGCTTTTGGCCTACGTTGCTGTGTGCCATGGAGTCGGAACTGACCCACAGCTGACCCTCCAGGCAGGTTTTCTGAGGCAGTTAAGTTAATCACATGGGAAGAGACGGACCTTCTCTGCTTAATCTTGAAATTAACCCCTCCCCCCCATCACTTTTAGTCCAACAGTAGAAGATCAAGTAGACACTAACCCTGACTTGGAGGCAGGAGTGGCATCCACTCCGAAATAGCTTGCCTCTGGAAACTCTATGAACATGGAGGAACGAAGAGAGTTATACAAGTGTTCAGGTCTTTTGTCCATAGGGTCGCTATGAGTTGTCTACAACTGGACGGCACCTAACAAACAATCTACAGAGAGCTCTGCTGGCCTAGTGGACAGAAAGTGATGCTGCCAAACCAAAGGTGGGTGCTTTTATCTGCAGCCCCCAGGCCTGGTTTTGGTTTTGGTCAAACATTCTTCTAGGTTAGATAGCCTTGGTCTGTCCACTTGCTGTACTAAGGTAACTCGTGGTTGCTGTGATGCTAAACACAGTGACACTGATGTGTGAAATGCGATAATGGTTGCCCATGGTGGACAGTGTTTGGTGGAGCTCCCTGATTAAAACAAACTTGGAAACAGGAGTGGCATCCACTTCTGAAATATGCTTGCCTCTGGAAACTCTATGAACCTGGAGAAATGATGAAAGTTATACAAATGTTTGGGTCTTTTGTTCATAGGGTCACTATTAGTTGTCTGTGACTCCTTGGCACTTACCACCACCACCACCAACCCCAAAAGGAACATACTCCTTGGAAAGATCAACCACTCAGAGCAGAGGGCAGCCCTGACGCCCACAGTTAAGCTCAGAGGGCACGGAGGACCACTGGAAGCGGAGAATTACAACCCTCTTCCTGACCCAAATGTGCATGAATTGACGGATGGGGGACTAGTGGGTTCTCGACATTGTCTCCCAAACCACAGTAAAGTGTTAAAAAAAACAAAACAAAACACCAATGAAAAGCGTTATGACTGAAGTCCCTTCCACTGGAGACAGTGGAGTCTAGACGATCGCTTTGACCTTCACGCCAGGTCGAGCCACTGCACTTGGCGCTACAGCTTGGCAGTCTGGGCATGACCTGCGACGTCCATGCAGGCGTGCAGCAGGCCACGCTGGCTGCAGAAACACACAGCCCCCTTGCACTCTGTGCAGCCTGGGCTTCCCTGGCGGGCACACAGCTCGCTGAAGGGGGGCTGAGTGCTCGCGCGGGGTGCAGCCCCCCAGAGATGGAGATGGGGGATGGGATGGAGTGCAGCCCCCTAGATAGGGAGATGGGGGATGGGGTAGAGAGCGCAGGGTGCAGCCCCTTAGAGATGTAGCTGGGGAATGGGGAAGTGCAATACCCCAGAGAGGGAGATGGAGTGGAGCTCGAGGGTGCAGACACCCAGGGACGGAGACGGGGTGGAGCGTGTGCGGGGTGCAGCTCCCCAGGGACAGAGATGGAGATGGGGGGATGGGGTGGAGAGCCCGGGGTGCAGCGCCCCAGAGATGGGGTGGAGTGCGCGGAGTGCAGACCCCCAGGGACGGAGACAGGGTGGAGCGCGCGGGGTGTAGACCCCCTATAAGTGGAAACGAGGACTGGGGAGGGTCGAACGCGAGGAGAGCAGTGGAATCGCCCCTTGGCTTTAGGGGGGCCCCCGGGGAAGACACGTGAGCACGCGAAGCGCGCGGCCTGGGGGCAGCTGAGCATCGCCCGCTGCAGCCGGCTTCACTTCCTAGCCACGCAGAAGGCCACCTCGGGGCCAGGGACACCCCACCGCCTCGGGCTCGGGGTATCGGGGTCCGAGCGGCCCTGGCCGCAGCCGCACTGCGCGCGCGCGGGCCTCCATCCGGGTTCCTGGGGCGGCGCGCGAGGGGCGGGGCCTGCGCGGCGTGGGCGCGGGGGGGCGGGGCCGCGCCGGGCGCTCCCGGCCAATGAGCGGCGTCCACATGCCGCGGCGGCGGCGAAGGGGAGGCCCGGCCGATAAATGCTATTAGAGCAGCCGCCGCACCGTGCCCGAGTTCGCCGTCGCTTCCACCGCAGTTCGCTCCCCCGCTGCCTGCTGCGTGACTGAGGCCGCGCGCATCGCCTGTCAGCTCGCCGGCCTCGCTCGGCACGTCCCCCTGGGGTCCCTGCGCCCCGCGTGCGTCCGCATCGCTTCGGAGCGACAGCGGCTCAGCGCCGCGGCCTGTGCTGCCGGCGGGTGATTGAGGGCGGAGCAGGCCGAGGCCCGGGGCCCGCTGCCCGCCAGGGCCGGGAGAGGGACGCTCGTCGGGCGAGCCTGCGCGGCCGTCCGGGAGGCGAGGAGAGGGCGGGCAGGCCGCGGTCGTCCAG